GGCAGACTGGCCGGAGGTGTTACTGGTCTACTGCCACCACTGCCTCTCCCTGAAGGAGTATGGAAATAGACATACTGCTGCCCCTGGAGTAAGGGCAAATGTCAAAGAGTTTTACAAGTAAATCAGCTTTCTGATTTGACCAACTGCTTCCTTTTCAGAAACAACAACAACAAAAAACAATTATCCAGTGCCCTCCCAGAAACCTACTCTCTTTGAGCAAATAGAAAGTGACTACTGTGCGCATAACTACAGCTTTCCCTGGGTCAGTATCCACCTTCCCTCATCTCCTCCACCTTGGGAAACACGGAAGTGCATCACTAAAAATTCCAAAGTAGGACACCAATGGGACAGCAACATTGTTGGAGCAGGAAGTGGCATGGGCTGGGCTGTGTATGCTTTGGAAGAGGAACCTTTCAGCTGAGCCTTCCATGAGTTTCTGTCTCTGAGCAGCAGTGACCAGCAAGTCCCCTCTCTGCACTGATTCCCATGGCTCCATCACTCCCTGCATGGAACCTGATCCTTGCTTATGGCCTTCCTCAGCCGAACCTCTCCTCCAGGCTTCCAAATACCTTCTACCCTCCAAAGCACCCAAACACAGCTTAAGCCAGTTCAAATGCAAGACACAACAGAGCACACAGTCTCCTTTCGAATCCACCTTAAGACTAATAAAATGAAATTCAAGACTAACATACCTGCTCCATCCCTGTTCCACATATTGGCACCTGGAACCATCCACTGTATAAGCCAGACATTTCTGGGGCCTTCCTACCCTGCGTATGTTATCTTCTTTTACCCTGTTTCTAGATCCTACCATATTCTTAGACTGTCTACAGCCATCTTAAGGGCCACTGCCATAGTCCTAGCAACGCCTAATAAGGCCTTGGCCATGGCCTTCCAGTCAGCCCCACCCTGATCCACTAGGTCTTCCTCTTCACTATGGGATGACTGATAAAAATAAAAATCTGATCACCTCATTCCCTTTCTCCTGTATTAAAATCAAATTTTTTGATTGTTTCATTTAGGTCCTTGAATGAAGACTGGGTCTCCAACATGGTCTACAAATCTTGTACCCATCAAGCCTGCACCTCACACAGCTGTGCTCTGGGCACCTCTGTTTCACCCTCTTGAACACATTCTTGTCCATTGTCAGCTTCTCCTTGACCAGTTTAATTCCTTATTTCTCCTTGGATCTCAGCTCAAATGTTACTCATTCCCCAGATAAAACTATCCAGGAACTCTCCAGCAGAATCAAATTCCATTAATATACTTTCATGGTACTATATTTCTCAATGCTATATATGGAAGTTAATAATGAAATATAAATGCATAAAATTTAATTGTAATCTCTTCCCAATTAAATTTTAAGTTATACTTATTCTTCCTTGTCCTGTTCTTTTCTTTCCTCATTATAGCACCAATGTAGGGTTGTAATGATACAATTATATACATATATCACATAATATGCACATTATATGTTATATAATTTATGCTACATGCTATATATGTTATAGCACTTATATATGTTTGCCTGTTCCTCAATGTTATAGCAATTTACAGGTTTATTGTGGGAAGCCAAGAGCCCTCTCATAGACCCTAGCCGTGGTTCCCATATTAGGAACTGCTTGGGACAGACATTGGTGACAGTCTCCCAGGGCTTCCTGACCTCAGCAGATGCCTGATCTATAGCCACATAACATCAGGCTGACAGTTATCTTAATCACTTCATTTAATCACTTAACTTCCCGTTAGTCCTCAATTTGCTCGAGCGGGCACCAGTAACGTCTCCATTTGTCCCTGCCGCATGCTAGTGTAGCCCAATGGCATCTGTTCGCTCTGGGAACATGAAGAGCCTCAAACCGATCGTTCATGATCTTGATGAAGAAGTCTGACCATCTGGTAGATGGGCGGCCACGCGGTCTTTTGACATCCCGTGGGATCCAGTTGGTAACAGCTCTAGTCCAGCAGTCATCTTTAAATCTCATTACGTGACCAGCCCATCTGATTTTTGACACCTTGGCAAACGAGACAGCGTCTCTGATTCTTGATTGTCGACGGATGTCGGAACTCTGGATTCTTTCTCTCATTTGAGCGAAACGTGATATTCCAAGCATAGCTCTTTCAATTCCTCTTTGGGAGACCCGAATAGCATTCTCATCCTGTTTGGGTAGGGCCCAGGTCTCTGAGGCATATGTTAATGCAGGAAGAACAGTGGAATCAAAGAGATGTGCCCAGAGCCAGAGGTTCTTCGTCCTCTTAGCTATTTCTTCGACGTTCTTGAAGGCGTTCCAAGCCGCTCTCTTCCTCCTGCACAGCTTGGGTGCCAGGTCATGTGTCATGTTGACTTCTCGACCTAGGTACACATAGCTGTTGCATTTGGAGATGGTCGTTCCGTTGAGAGCGAATGGGGCATCAGGAACGAGGCTGTTTCTCATAAACATTGTCTTCGTAAGATTCAGCTGTAGTCCTACCTTTCCACACTCACGGTCAAAGTCGGCCAGCATTTGTGCCGCTTGGCTGATGTTTGGTGTTATTAAAACAATATCATCAGCAAAGCGGAGGTGGTGTAATTGCCAACCATCTATCTTCACTCCCATTCCTTCCCATTCCAGTCGTCGCATGATGTTCTCGAGGGTGGCACTGAAGAGTTTCGGTGAAATGGTATCACCCTGCCGCACCCCTCTCTTGACATCAATGATCACTTCTTTGTAGAATGGTGAGATCCTGGTAGTGAATCCGCAATACAGCTCACGGAGGATCCTGATGTATTGGGCTTGAATGCCCTGATTGGCTAGGGCTTCAATGACCGCTTCCGTCTCAACAGAATCAAAGGCCTTCTTTACAACAGAATCAAAGATGCTTTCCAGACCCGCGTGGCAGCTCCAGCCGAGACTCACGCACGACTGAAGACCCACAGAACAAGATAAGCGGAACTCTCTGAGACCTTGGACTCCAGGCTCAACGGACCCAGGGACAGAGATTCTCTGCTTGCTCCCACCAACCACAGGTGACAAAGGGATTCTAATCAGGAGCCCCACCCTACCCTGCCCTGGTGGCTTCCACCAACCACCAGAGACCCAGGAATCGGATTGCGCACAGAAGACCCACCCTACCCCCACCGGGACCAGATAAATACCACACTGGCAGACCTCCACTACCGACACTACCTCCACTACCCAGCCGCCGCCACACTCCAGGACGCTTTCCGGGCCCGCGTGGCCGCGCGACACATCATAACACACTAAATACCCATCTTCCGAAATTGCCGTACCATATTTGATAGGGTTCAAATATGATAACACCGATGAGGGCGATTAGAGGTTGCCCCAAAAGCCTCTATCCCTTTTGGAAAGACTGGCAAGCTACCCAGAGTATTCTGCCTGCATGGAAGAGCCTGGCAAGCTATCAGTTGTGTATTCGATATGCCAAAACCAGTAATTACAACTTGTCTCATTCACCTGACAGTTATCTTATCTGGCCTTATCCATAATAACCTCCAGGATGCATCTACTGCCCTGAGACCCTTTGATATACAAATGTAAAGCTCAGGATGCACCTACTGCCATTAGACCCTTTGATGTACAAATGTTTACCTTGAATGTTAGGTAAAGCTCTTGTTGCTGACCTTACCATGTATGGTTATATTGCTTCTGCTCCTGACTGGGCTTCCTGGACCCTATATAAACAGCCTGTAGCCCCCAATAAAGTTCTGTCCCTTTTTCTCTCTGTTTCTAAACTGCACTCTGTCTCTTTTGTCTTGTGTTCATTAGGTTGGTCCTTCCCTGCACCTACGGATCCTAGGGCCACCTCCGCTGGTGGGAGAGTGGTTTTGCAGGCCCCCCGCAGTTTACAATTCCAAGTTAAAAGTTCTAAGAAAATTACAATACTTACTTTTCCTTCTCCTCATTCTTTGATCTCTTTGCTAAAGATGAACAATTAATTCATAAAATATGGTGCTCCTCCCTTTTTTTAATCCACATCCTTTAGAGGGGCAGAGCCTCCATATCTCATTGACTTCAAGGTTCTTTTTCATTCGTTTGGGCCACCCCCAGTTCTACTCAGGACTTACTACTGGTTCTGTGTCCAGGAATCATTCCTGATAGACTCGTGGGACCCTATAAAGTACTAGGGATAGAATCTGGGCTGACTGCATGCAAGGCAAGCACCTTCCTCTTCCTACCTATTGTACTATCTCACCAGGCCCTGATTTCAAAGTTTTTATCCTCAATCTCTGTTTCTCTAAAGGTCCAGTTAGGCATTTCCAAGTAACCAGTGGTTTTACAGCATTTTGACCACAGCTGGAACATTTTAGTCAGTAAATTGCTACTACATAGTATATAACAAATATTTTTCATAAAAAAATTTCAATCATTCCCCAATTTGATTTTATTTAAAAATATTTTATTTTTTCACATAATATAGTAAGTTACACTAATGGGTCAAAACTTGAAGTTTAAAGCATTCCATGCCAGATATAGAATTTCTCTACTGCCTCAAAAAAATCAGATTTCCTAATTCATTTCTTTTGTTTTTGTTTTTGTTGTTATTCTTTGTTTTTGGTTTTGGAGCTACACCAGACAGCGCTCAGGGCTTACTCCTGGCTACTGGCTCTGTGCTTAGGGATAACTCCTGACAGGGCTCAGGGGACCATATGCAGTGCTTGGAATCAAACCCAGGACGGGATTGATGTGTGCAAGGCAAGCATCCTTCCTGCTGTGCTATTATTGCAGTGGCTCCTGAAGTAATCTTTTTAACTAGTTTTCAACTTTTAAAATTTTCAAATAGAAATGACACATTTGAATTAAAAACACCAGAAAGCTAATTCAACTCTTTGGTATCATTTTCACCAACACAGCACATAAAGAACTAAATGCTTATTTCTTCACTTTTTTTATTAATGCAAAAACCTCCTTAAACATTTAAATTTTAATTCACATTTGTAAAATTCCTACTATAATTCTGAAAGCAAATACCAGTTTAATGGTACTGGCAGGCAGACTCACCCATGTCAGCAGTCACCACAGTGGACTGATTCTCAGGGATGGAAACAGAGGTCTGGTCTTGCTCCATGCTGCGAGAGTCCTCATTGACCTCCTGTTGGCTCTGGCTCAATTCTGATCGGAGCTCTGAGTACTCATCTTCATCCCTGAGATGAAACAAGGAGAGTCAGCGACCACGGGCAACAAATGTGTTTGGAAGACTAGAAAAGAACATTCTGATAGATACAGAAGGACCTCCTGCCTCAGTCACATCTACCAGGCTCCTCCAGGTCAAACAGAGGGCTACACTTACGGTCAAATGGAACTAAACGGTGTTTCTGTGACTACGCTCATACTCATATTCTGAACAGATACATCTATAAGTTACCAGAAATTTTTCTTCATTGAATTTCCTGAAGACTCATATTTCTCCATTAATATGAATCAGTCCTTATTCCAGTATCACACTGTATTTTTTTAATTTTTTTTATTATTAGTGGATCACCTTGAGGTACAATTACAGAGTTATAAACTTTAGTGCTTGTGTTCCAGTCACACAATGATCGAGTACCCATTCCTCCACCAGTGCCCATTTTCCACCAACACAGATCCCAGAATCCCTCCCACCACCCTCGCCCTGGACCCCTCACTACCCCCCCTGCTCACCCCGCCTCTGTGGCAGGGCATTCCCTTTTGTTCTCTCTCTCCTTTTGGGTGTGGTGGTTCGCAATAGAGGTATTGAGTGGCCATTGTGTTCGGTATATAGTCTACTTTTAGCAAGCATCTTTCAACCCAAATGGGTCCTCCCAACATCCTTTTCTTGGTGTTCCCTTCTCTATCTGAGCTGCCTTTTCCCCCAGCATGTGAGGCCGGTTTCCAAGCCATGCAGCAGACCTCCTGGTCCTTATCTCTATTACTCTTGGGTGTTAGTCTCCCATTCTGTTACTTTATATTCCACAGATGAGTGGAATCTTTTTATGCCTGTCTCTCTCTTTCTGACTCATTTCACTTAACATAAGTATCACACTTTTCTTTTTTCTAATTTTACTGAATCACCATGAGAAAGTTACAAGCTTTTATGTTGGGGTTACAATCACACAATGATCAAACACCCATCCCTCCACCAGTGCACATTCCCCACCATCAATGTCCCCAGTATACCCCTCTTCCCCATCCTCCTGCTGCTTCCATGGCAGACAGTATTCCCCATACTCTCTACTTTTGAGCATTATGGTTTGCAATACAGAAACTGAGAGGTCATCCTGTTTGGGCTGTTATCTATTTTTGGCACACATCTCCCATCCCAACTGATTCCTCCAGCCATCATTTTCTTAGTGATCCTTTCTCTATTCCATCTGCCTTCTCCCTCCGCTCATGAGGCAGGCTTCCAGCTATGAGGAAATCCTCCTGGCCCTTGTATCTACTGCCCTTGGGTGTCAGCCTTATGTTATGTTATTCTATACTCCACAAATGAGTGCAGTCCTTCTATGTCTGTCCCTCTCTTTCTGACTCATTTCACTTAGCTTGATACTCTCCATGTCTATCCACTTATAAGCAAATTTAATGATTTTATCTCTTCTAACAGATGCATAGTTTTCCATTGTGTAGATGTACCAAAGTTTCTTTAACCAGTCATCTGTTCTAGGGCACTTGGGTTGTTTCCAGACTTTGGCTATTGTGAATAATGCTGCAATGAACATATAGGTACAGATGTCATTTCTACTGTGCTTTTTTGCATCCTTGGGATATATTTCCAGAAGTGGTATCGCGGGGTCATATGGAAACTCAATTTCTAGTTTTTGAAGAAGTGTCCATATTGTTTTCCACAAAGGCTGGACCAGTGGACATTCCCACCAACAGTGAAAGAGTGTCCCTTTTTCCCCATATCCACACCAGCACTGGTTGCTTTTGTTCTTTTGAATGTGTGCCAGTCTCTGCGGTGTCAGATGATATCTCATTGTTGTTTTGATTTGTATCTCCCTGATGGCTAGTGATGTGGACCATTTTTTCATGTGCCTTTTGGCCATTTGTATTTATTTTTTTGTGGAAACTTCTGCTCATTTTTCTCCCCATTTTTTGATGGGTTGGAGGTTTTTTCTTGTACAGTTCTACTAGTATATACTTGTATATACTAAATATTAATCCCTTATCAGATGGGTATTGGGTAAATATTCTTTCCCATTCTGTGGACTCTTTCTGTATTTTGATCACTGTTTCTTCTGAAGTGCAGAAGCTTCTTAGTTTGATGTAGTACCATTTGTTTACGTTTGCTTCCACTTGCATGGTCAGTACTGTTTCATCATTAAAGATTCTTTTAGATTCAATGTCATGGAGAGTGTGCCTACATTTTCCTCTATGTACCTTACGGATTCATGTATGATATTGAGGTCTTTAATCCACTCTGATCTGACTTTTGTGCCTGGTATTAGACAAAAGTCAGAGTTCATTTTTTTGTATGTAGTTATCCAGTTTACCCAGCACCACTTGTTGAAGAGACTTTCCTTGTTCCACTTCACATTTCTTGCTCCTTTATCAAAGATTAAGTGGCCATATATTTGGGGGTCTGTGACAGAATATTCAACTCTGTTCCATTGGTCTGCAGGTCTGTTTCTAGCCCAATACCATGCTGTTTTAATTACTCCTGCTTTGTAGTACAGTTTGAAGTTGGAGAAGATGATGCCACCCATCTTATTTGTCTCAAGGATTCCTTTAGTTATGGGGATTTATTGTCCCATATGAATTTCAGGAGTTTTTGTTTATTTCTTTGAAAAATGTCATGGGTATCCTGATAGGAACCACATTGAATTTGTATAGTGCTTCGGGCAGTATTATCATTTTGATAATGTCAATCCTCCCTATCCATGAGCAGTGGCTGTGTCTCCATTTCCTCCACTGAGGTAGTGTTTTGTAATTTTCCTTGTATAGATCCTTCACCTTTTTGGTTAAGCTGATTCCAAGGTACTTAATTTTCTGAGGTACTATTGTGAACGGGATTGTTTTTTTAATGTCTCTTTCTTCTCTTTCATTATTTGTATATAAGAAAGCCATGGGCTTTTGGGTGTTGATTTTGTAGCCTGACACTTTACTACAATTACTACAACTTTGTAGTACATTTTGAAGCTGGTGATAGGGTGGGATGCCTTCCATCCTTTTTTTTTTTTTTTAGTTTATTTTAAAATTGAATCACCATGAGACATACAGCTACAAAGTTGGTCATGATGGACTTTCAGTCATTGTTCCAACACCCATCCGTTCATCACATTTCCTACCATTGATGTCCCATTTCCCTCCCGCCTACTCCCACCCTTGTCCCACACTAGTATACTGCCTCTATGACAGGCACTTTCTTCCTTTTTTTCTATTTCTCTCTCTCTCTCTCTCTCTCTCTCTCTCTCTCTGTCTCTCCCCTCTCATTTTCATTTTAGGAGCTGTGGTTTGCAATATTGTTACTGAAAGGGTATTATGCATAACCCTTTACCTCCTTTCAGTACTCAATTTTTGCCCAAAATGATCATTTTCAACTATCACTGTCATAGTTATCCTTTTTCTGTTCTAATTCCAGTCTCCCTCCCCATTCATGGCAAGCTTTCTACCACAGACTGGTCCTCCTGGCGCTGAATAATACCATGTTTGGGTATTATACACATGCAATGGTGTATGTATATATACATGTATCCTGCTATATATATCTATATATATACACATATATATAGTAAATGAGTATAATCATTCTATGTCTGTCCCACTCCTGACTAATTTTACCCAGCATGATACTCTCCATGTTCATCCATGTACAAGCAAATTTCATGACATCATTTTCCCTAACAGCTGCAGAGTATTCCACTGTGTAGATATACCACAGTTTCTTTATCTACTCATCTGTTCTTGGGTACATGGGTTGTTTCCAGATTCTGGCTATTGTGAACAGTACTGCAATGAACATAGGAGTGCAGAAGGCATTTATACTGCATGTTTTGGGGTCACTAGGATATATTCAAAGGAGCGGTTATTGCTCGGTAGTATGGAAGCTCAATTTCTAGTTTTTTGAGGAATATACACATGATTTTTCATAAAGACTGAACCAGTCAGCATTCCCAGCAGCAGTGATTGAGAGTTCCTTTCTCTCCATATCCGTGCCAACACTGGTTGTTCTTTTCATGTGTGCCAATCTCTGTGGGATGAGATGTCTCATTGCTTTTTTGATTTGCATCTCTGATGATTGGTGATGTAAAGCACTTTTGAGTGTGCTTTTTGGCCATCTGTATTCTTTTTTGTGGAAGTTTCTGTTTACTTCTTCTCCCCATTTCCTTATGGATCCCATCTTTTTTCCCTCTAAGATTGACTCCTGTGTGTGGGGATTAATTATTCCTTACTAACTTCAGTAGTGTTTGGCAAACTTCTTTGAAAATTGTCAGAGGCATAGAATAAAGCATAATATGAGATTAATACCCATGGACAGTAAAGAAATGGGGTAGGAGGACTGTTCCATGGATGAAAGCTTGTCACAAGTGGAAGGGTGGAGGGAGGACAGTTAAGATGGTGAAGGGATCACTAAAACAATGATACTTGGAAATTATCATTCTGAATAAGAACTGAGTGCTAAAAGTAGGTAAAGGGATATAAGTGATAACCTCTCAGTTTGTATACTGCAAAGTAGAAAGCCCAGAGGGGTGTGTGTGTGTGTGTGTGTGTGTGTGTGTGAGAGAGAGAGAGAGAGAGAGAGAGAGAGAGGGAGGGAGGGAGAGGGAGAGAGAGAGAGGAGGAGGAGGAGAGAGAGGTCAAAGTGCCTGAAAAAGAGGCAGGCTGGGGGTGGGGGGGGAGGGTGGCAGGAGGGAAACTGAGGATATTGGTGTTAGGAAATGTACACCGGTGAAGGGATGGGATTAGAACATTGTATGACTGAAATCCAATCATGAACAACCTTGTAACTATGTATCTCAGGATTATTCTATTAAAAAAATTGTCACAGGTATTCTTTTTCTTTTAAACTTAATTTGGGGACTAGAGAGATAGTACAGTAGGTAGGGCATTGCCTTGCACAGAGGTGACCCAGTGTAATTCCCAGCATCCCATATGGTCTACTGAGCCCACCAGGAGTGATTCCTAAGTACAGATCCAGGAGTAAATCCTGGACACCTTCAGTGTGTCCCCAAAACAAAACAAAAAC